TCCTACTTCCGTAGTGATACTGCCTCGGAAACCCAAGGAGGGGTCGCTATGAGTCGGGTTTGACTCAACGGCACATAACAACAACAACAACAACACTTTTTAAGTGCTTATTAATCTGGACTCCAATGCAAATTCTGTAAGGAGCCTGGCAGTAGAAGATCCTCAACCCTAGTTATATGAGATATGTGGCTAAAACTTCAGTGCAAATCGCTCTCTTGAATCACACCCCATTAGATGTGATTCTACCTGTGTGCCAACCCTTAATGTCTAGGGTCTTTTCTGAGAAACAATACCAAGTATCTGTTTAAGACTTTACCCTAGGGTGTGGACAAAGGTTGAAATTATTCACTTTGTTAGGCATGAGATCAGGTACTGAGTGAGGGCTAATTCTGATGGAAAATCTTCCTGTCAGGGATTTAAAAAGCAAACAGATAGAGCCAAGGGTGGAGAAACTGAGGACAGGTGATTGTTGGCAAGCTGCTGAGACTTCTAATCCCGTTGGTTACTCCATAGGTCTGGTTCAACCTGTGCTCACCCTTCCTGTTTTGGATTTGAAGTCAAGGCAACCATCATTACTAATTCTAGCATGCCAGCTCCAGAACACTGTAACCTTTAGAGACTTGGGATTCCATGAGAAATGTAGCAGCATTCCAAAGACCTACGCATTCCACAGACATATGCATTCTTGCCTGCAGTAGAGGGTGTTGGCTTCACTCCACTAGATGAAGCCAGACCTTCTCATATTCTGCAAAGTCCTGGTGGCTAACCCTTCATAAGAGTATAGAGCCAAGTAGGCTCATCTCAGTTTGAAGATCACCAACAAAGGGGCTGGGTTTAGTCACATAGCTGCCAGTCACCCTGGATTGTTAAATAAACCTGGAGTAGTAATGAATGTGAAAAAGGAAGCAGAAGTATTAAAAAAAAAAAAAAAAAAAGTGGTGTTGGGAGGCTAGAAAGGAAGACAGGTGGAAACACATGACTTTTCCAACTTCCTGATGGAAAGATACCAAGAGAAATAAAACCCTGACTATAAGGACCTTTCTTTTTTGGCTACATTTAAGTGTCTATAATGTCATATTGCCACTGTCAAAT